TGCAGTGGCTCAATACGACAAAATGGAAAAGAAAGACAATAGGAAGTATATACAAGTTACTTAATATCAAAGGACATCTTTAAACATTTTTAAAAAGTTGAGAAAAAAAAATTCTTAACATCTTGATTAAATACAGATTTATAAAAATCGTTGTGGAAAAACAAACCTTACTAATAAAAGAAACGTTATGGCAAACGGCACAGTATTTTTCAAATGTAATTTTAAAGAAAATAATTTATTAAAAAAATAATCAAGAACATAAACGGTGATCATTATTATCCAAGGATTAACTATTTATAAATAATAACATATCAAATATTATTTATATGCTTCCCACTTGCGGATCCAGGATTTAGTTTTTTTTTTGAGGGGCTCCAGCCCGAGAGCTTTTTTTTTTCATGTATTTGACGATAATTACGTTGGAAAAAAAAATACTAACTACCTATGTGAAATGGCATTTAAGATAATTTTTAAATACTTTTTTTCCATAAAACATGGTTATATTTTATCATTTTGGGGGGGGGGGCTTCATCCCGAAAGCCCCCATCTCCCGTAGATCCGCCTATGCTACTTCCCGAATACATCGGGAGAAAAATATAAATTTGAATATAAAGAGCGTATTACAGTATTGACCTAAATTAATAGAATCATATCACTTCTTTAAACGATAATTTCAATTACTTAATAGTAATAGTAATTATAATTTTTGCGATTAATCAATTACCTCCCCCCCCCAAAAAAGAGGGAGGAAATGGCCCTTGCTGACGAAACAATATTAAATATTTAAAACTCTATATCTCTGCAACGAATCCTCCGGTTTCGATGATTATTTTTTATTTTGTAGGGAATTCATGGAGCTTTAAAATAAATATTGGTATTGTCCATAAAAAATTGTGTACTTTTTTAGTTAGAGCGGCAAATAAAATTTTGAATTCATCGTAATATTTGTATTTGTATTTTTCGGGAAAGCATGTTATGCACATAAATTATAAGAGTTTGAAGGAGATGACTTTAGCGAAATATAAATTTTTTTTTTTGATAAATATAAAAATATTCGTGATGCAATATGCCAGAAAACTTCGTGTGTACAGGAGTGTACGCAACAACTTCCCAAAGTTTCATGGCGATCGGATGAATGGTGTAGTAATGCATAAAGAACAAACAAACATACATTTTATATATATATATTGTTAACATTACAAACTGCACTGAGAAATAAACACTAAATTGCTATTTTACCATAATAGCACCGCATTGACTACTTAGAACCGGTGGCGGGATATATTTTTGAGGCTCTTACAAAATAAAAAAAATAAACGAAAACCATGTTTCTTGTTAAGAAACAAAACAATACATGGTTCCCCTTGGATCACAAAAAAATGTTTACTTTTTTTTGTTAGGAAAATTAAATCTGGTGCGCGCGTCACACAACTTTCACTTACATCTTTGAACAATAATCAAGAACATAAACGGTGATCATTATTATCCAAGGATTAACTATTTATAAATAATAACATATCAAATATTATTTATATGCTTCCCACTTGCGGATCCAGGATTTAGTTTTTTTTTTTAGGGGCTCCAGCCCGAGAGAATTTTTGTTCATGTGTTTGACGATAATTACGTTGGAAAAAAAAAATACTAACTACCTATGTGAAATGGCATTTAAGATAATTTTTAAATATTTTTTTTCCATAAAACATGGTTATATTTTATCATTTTGGGGGGGGGCTTCATCCCGAAAGCCCCCATCTCCCGTAGATCCGCCTGTGATACTTCCCGAATACATCGGGAGAAAAATATAAATTTGAATATAAAGAGTGTATTACAGTATTGACCTACATTAAGAGAATCATGTCACTTCTTTAAATGATAATTTCAATTACTTTAGTAATTATAATTTTTGTGATTAATCAATTACCCCCCCCCCCCCCACCAAAAAAAAGAGGGAGGAAATGGCCCTTGCTGACGAAACAATATTAAATATTTAAAACTCTATATCTCTGCAACGAATCCTCCGGTTTTTTATTTTGTAGGGAATTCAGGGAGCTTTAAAATAAATATGGGTATTATCCATAAAAAATTGTGTACTTTTTTAGTTAGCGGCAAATAAAATTTTGAATTCATCGTAATATTTGTATTTGTATTTTTCGGGAAAGCATGTTATACACATAAATTATAAGAGTTTGAAGGAGATGACTTTAGCGATATATAAATTTTTTTTTTTGATAAATATAAAAATATTCATGATGCAATATGCCAGAAAACTTCGTGTGTACAGGATTGTACGCAACAACTTCCCAAAGTTTCATGGCGATTGGATGAATGGTGTAGTAATGCATAAAGAACAAACAGACATACATTATATATATATATATATATATATATATATATATATATATATATATATATATATATATATATATATATATATATATATATATATATATATATTGTTATATTGTTATATATATATCTATATATATAAATATTGTGAATGATTGATAAAATTTATTGTCTTAATTTTAAAAATCAACCCATGCTTATTTTATTTTATTTTTATCTTCATTTAAATAATGTTGTTTTTTTTATTTCGTTTTTTCTCAAAATTTTATTTTATTTTTACTTGTTTTAATTTAATTTCACTGAAGATACTGTATATATTCTTTAATATTGATTAATGTAATTTTTGGCCAGATGTAGTTTTAATTTTTTTGTTCATATCTGTTATTCATAAGGGACCTTGTCCCAGAATAAAGTTTACTTTCTATCTATCTATCTATCTATCTATATATATATATATATATATATATATATAGATAGATATATATATATATTGTTAACATTACAAACTGCACTGAGAAATAAACACTAAATTGCTATTTTTCCATAATAGCACCGCATTGACTACTTAGAACCGGTGGCGGGATATATTTTTGAGGCTCTTACAAAATAAAAAAAATAAACGAAAACCATGTTTCTTGTTAAAAAACAAAAGAATACATGGTTCCCCTTGGATCACAAAAAAATGTTTACTTTTTTTTGTTAGGAAAATAAAATATGGTGCGCGCGTCACACAACTTTCACTTACATCTTTGAACAAATATTATTGTTTTGCAAAATTGGGCTATTACAAAAATGTTTTTGAAATGTATTTTTAATGATCTAAACGTTAAAAAACACATTTGTGAATTTCTGTCATGTTTATATCAAATTTCCTCCAAGTTTGGGTCAAATCGAATGCGCCGTTTTCAAACTATAGGCATATCAAATAACACATTTCCTGATCTGAAAGTGGAAGTATTTTTTTTTTTTTTGTAGTAGATAGAATTTGATAAAATTGATGCCTATTTCATTTTACGTTTACCAATCCCCAAATTCCCTCCAAATTTGAGCCAAATCGAACTTTTAGTTTTAGAGATATAGACGTATCAAGAAAAACACGTTTTCGCATACATAAGACAAAGCAGCGGACAGAATTCAATAAAATTGATCCTACATTATTTTTTCACAAATTCCTATGTTTCATCCAATTTTGAGCCAAATCGAACGTGCCATTTCTGAAATATTGGCATATCTACAAAAATGAGTTTGCGCGTACGTAAGCGGATGTGCTGGTTAGAATTTAATAAAATTTATAGGGGACCATCTAGATACCAACCTGGACAATTAATGAAAATTGGATGAACGATAGTAGGTGATATGCCCGTTACATCTGTCTACAGACAGACAGACATCGAACCAAATTTGATCCTTGATGTCTGAAACGAAAAACGCCAGTGGAAATTTCCAATTCTGACCATATATTTTTTTTAACCTCTCGCACGAATACAATGCTTCCTACCTTTGGTAGGAAATAAAAAAAAATAGTGCAACGTCCGGCATGTTTGATTTTTTGTTAATAGAGATATGTCTTAGCACTCTGTTTCTTGTTTTTTAGTGTTTCTGGTATTTTTGAAATGTCTAAACCTGGCTTTGCACACCAAATATACACTGGCAGGCAAACAATTCCACCCACTTGATTTTTTCATGTTTTCATCTAAAAATATTTCTGCTTTGGATTGGTCTATTGTTTTTAATGAATAAATAGGTAATATTTTTATTTGTTTTCAATTAGGAATGTTAATATAGAGGAAAATAACCCTTAATCCTTAATTAAATGAAATGATTCTAGATTCCAATGTTTACTTTCTATGGAATCAAAATGTTTATTCAGTATCATTAGTTCAGTGCCGTTTCTTGGAGCACATTTCTTAGTCTCCGGCTTTTATTTTTTTCAATATTAAGTTTAAAAATGCCTCTTAGTGCTGAGGATGTTGCGCGTGGTGTGGCACTTATTGATGATAGACGTTCCATTAGATATGCAGCTAATGCCATCGGAGTTCCATATGAAACTTGACGAGACGCCGTCATGCGTTTTCGGGAAACTGGTTCTTACAATAGAAGGCCCGATTCTGGACGGCCTAGGGTAACAGAACCACTGGATGACCAGTTTTTGACTTACGGAATTTTACGAAACCGGCACCTTACCGTTGTTCAAGCGATTCATCAGCTCGAAGAAGTTCGAGGTGTGCAAATTTCTGAACGTACCGCTCGGATTCAATTAAATGAGTATGGATTAATGGTTTTTCGTCCAGTAAGAGGACCAGAGTTGACCAGAACTCACAAGTAACACGGCTGGCTTTTGCTCGAGAACACAGCCATTGGACTATGGACGAATGGAGTGCTGTACTTTTTTCAGATGAGTCAAGATTCGCTCTTCGACCTCCAGACGGGCGTGAAAGGGTGTGGAGAAGAAGAAACGAAAGATATGCAGCCTGTAATTTTTCCCAGAGCCAACCTTTCCAACGTGGTTCCTTAATGGGTAACAAGTGGGTGGAATTTTTTGCCTGTCAGTGTATATATGACACATATATAATTTAAATTTAACGTGAAACATGAGTACAGTTATTAAACTGAATAAAACTCTTCTAATGCAGATTTAAACGATATTGTTTTCAGATGGACAAGGATATCTTGGAGAGCGTCTTGAAGAGGAACTGGAAAGAGTCCAGCCTGGAGAAGATTGTAAGCGTAGAAAGTTCGCCAGCCGTTGCAAAGAACTTGAACTTCTTGTCGACCGTCGACAGGCTCAAACTGAAATCGATCCTAGGCAATGGGAAGGTTGTCAACAAGAGTCTCATCATCAAATTGGGCACAAATCCCAACGAGTTTCAATCAGAGTTCAATGGAAGGTACGATACCTTCAGGAAAGAAGTAATGGTGGGTAATTATTTAAATTTGTTCGGCTATTAAGTGAAACTGCTAAAAAAATATTTTTATTTGTATTTTGAGAGTTAAATCAGGGGAAATAGAAGAAAAAAAAACCCTGAAAATTATTTCTCAACAATTATACATCTATGAGAAGGAGTTTTTCGGAGGTGCGGTCAGATAAATACTAAATTAAAATATAGTAATTATTTTATTTTAATTTTGCCGGCGTTTCGACCCACTTTGCAGGTTGTCTTCCGGGCTACTAAAGATACAAAACATGTTGAGAATAAAAATTAAATACAAGTAGATATAAAATAAGAAGTTGTCAGATACAGAAATAAAAGATGATATCAGAGATATAGTGGGTGACAATGTAGTAAAATATTAAGTATTATATATGTAGAAGATACAAAAAATAGAAAATAAGTATGAATAAACAATGAATAAAAATAAAAATAAAGGAGAATATAGCATGTAAGTTAAAAGTAAACAGATTGGGATAAAAGATAAGGAATAAGTGTATAACAAACTAATAGAGATTACATTAGATAACTGTGGGTTAACAGATATAGAAAATGAATGTTAACGAATAAATAGATTGAAAATTGAATAAGTAATGTTATAAGACGACCTGCAAAGTGGGTCGAAACGTCGGCAAAATTAAAATAAAATAATTACTATATTTTAATTTAGTATTTATCTGACCGCACCCCCTACAAACCCCCGAAGTGTACATTAGTGTGAATGAGTTTAATTTATTTTATTATCATTCGGCTTTAATGTGTTGTTTTACTTATCTTGTATATTACTTTATCTTTATATATATATATATATATATATATATATATATATATATCTTTTTTTTTCTTCCTCATCTTACTTGGTTATTTTTATTTATTTTCCTTTCTTATATACATATTGTGTGAATGAATACTATAGCCCTAGTACCAATGCCCTTCAGTGGAGCAGACTGTATTAATACTAAAAAAAAAGTAATTAGTTTAAAAAAAAATATGATTACTTCAGTAACACATTAAAAAATCAAAATTCACAACTAAGGATTTGCAGTCGAACATAAAAACATCTAGAGACCATATCTTTGCTCCTAACTGTCCGAACGTTTTTTGTTCTGTTTTTTAAGGTAATTTCGTAAACTTTTAAAACATCATATATCAACAAAAAAGTGTATACTTTTTGAGTTATTCGGAATCTTATCATCCCTCGTAACTTTTTTCAAGCTTCTTTTCGTTGAAGTATGTTTTATAAATGAATTTAAAGGGCATGATGAAGAAGACTTTAGCCAAGTTTCATTGAAATCGGTACATTCGTTTAGGCTCTACAGTCTATAGCAACGCAGGTTTTTTCGGCTGCCATTTTGAAAGTAAAAGGCGGATAGTAATTTCGATGAAGGAGGATCATTCTCGGGTGACCTCTGATTTTAAATCCAAATTAAAAAAAAAAAAAATCGATCCAGTAGTTTCGGAGAAAATGCGCGGACGGCGGACGGACAAAAAAAGTTTTATTCGTTTTTCGAATGCTACGTAAAACCTCAAATTTTGAGAGGGGGTTAAGTTTTTGAATTTTTCGTTCGATCACGATGGTTCATTATTAAAAATAATAAACCAAAAAATATTAAAACCATTCTAGGGATTCTTAGGAAAAAAAATCAACTACAAAAAGCGTGTTTGGAATACTATCATTTTTGGTTTTTTTTTGGGGGGGGGCCTCTGAACCATTGTGCGGCGATGGTTAATGACCCCAAAGGGCTCATTAAATCATTATGACTCATTTCATTAAATATTTTAGTGACATCGCGATGTTAAATAGAGCGGACCCAACACGGTCAGTCGGAATGATATTCCGAGATCTTATTTTGAATGATGTAAGTTATTCATTTTGGACTCTAATTTCGTCAATAGTGTAATGTTTTTAAATTATCAATAGTCCGTGGTACAGAACCCTTTTTATCGGATTATTATCATCCGCCTGAAACTTCGTAAATAATTTCATCTCATCGTAACTTACAACTATTTTATTTACGAAAACTCTTTTTTCGTGGCGTTTTCAATTTGGAGGGGGGCAAACTTTGTCTATTTAATTACATACTAAATATTCGTAAATTCTCATTTTCTTTCTACTTAGATCGTAAGATAATTTGAAAAAAGGTGGCCTTCAAAAATACTAATCCCTTTGGCGTTACCTACACCCCCAAATTTTCAAAATAAAGAGGTTATGTGTTATAGGGACAAACTGCCCAATATGTTTGCAGGACACCTTTTTTCTCGATTTTGTGATCAATTTATCTTACGATCCAAGTAGAAAGCAAATGTGTATTTACGAGTTTTTAGTACCTAATTAAATAGACAAAGTTTGCCCCCCCCTCCAGATTAAAAATGCTCCAATTCCAAGAGTTTTCTTAAATAAAATAGTTGTAAGTTACGATAAGACGAAATTATTTACGAAGTTTCAGGCGGATGTTAATAATTCGATAAAAAGGGCTGTGTACCACGGACTACAAGATTGGTATATTGATTTACTGAGTGTTTCAAGTTTTTTGTTGTATATATCGATGGGCTAAGTTATGGGATGAATAACGGGTTGAAACTCGAAAATGAAATTTAACTCAATGAGCTGAAAAGTCAATTAAAAATAGGTATTGTAAATAGAAACATCATTGGTGCACCAATGGCTTTATGAATTATAAACTGAAATAATATAGGACATAATTTTTTATTTATTATGTATGTTTCAGATGTACGACACACTAATAAAAATCGAACACCTCATGGAAGAATTTGAAGATACGGAAGATATACTTTGGTGCAAAATGGTCCACCACATCCCCTACAGCTGTATCGTACTGGAGGATTTAAAGGTCCTAATCGTAAATATATTTATCATATAACTTAAAACGAAATTATGTACTAATAAATCAATTGTTGTTGTTACGGTCTTTAATTTGGAAACAATTGGAAAAATCGTTTCCGCAACAAACTTTCCGGATGCTCAGTGGAGACGGTAGCGTTCGAAAAAAAAGAAGAAAATTAATGAAGTCAATTAATTATTAATAAATATATAACAGGCGCCACGCTATTTAATTTTTTGAATTTGGAAAATAGAGAAAACCAAAAAAAAAAATTGAAATAAATTTAATTTAAAAAAAAATATTAGGATGCGGAGTGAGCTACGAACTCGGAACCTTTGGATTTAAAAACATATGTTAATTAACTTCATAACCTATCGAACCTTCTTACGTGGTTAATAATGACTTTCCCTAATCCCTCGAATAGGGTTTTACAATTCCTTATTAAACCTTAAAAAAGAAAAACAATATAATATATACATAAAACGTGAAAACAAAATGAAGAAAAAGAAGAAAATAAAACTGGCTATTATTAATACTAATGATGAATTTATTTATTTCTATTGATTTAAATAACTGTTAAAGGAAATGAAAATTATGAACAAGAAAACAAAGAAAATACAGTCAACATTAATTATCACAGAAAAGAATATAAAATTATTATAGAACTATTTAGTTCTATTAACTTAGACTATACAATAAACCAATTACAAACATAAAAAAAAATAGGTAGGGAATAAAAACTTATATATACATATTTACAAAACATCAATGGTTGAACTCTGTCTAATTGGCACATTGAGTTATCTGAGGAAGCGGGAACTTCTTCCAACTGTAGAAATGTTCATTCACCAACTTGTAAAATCAAACGGCACTCGTCGCCGATGATCACAGGTTCATGGATAAGAAAAGAAAATCCGGTGTACACCGTAAAACTAAAGTATTTCACAAAACCAAATCCTTAGCGTGCCTCAACACTCGCGAGGTTCCGCCATCTCTTTCTAAAAACTGTCTTTTGTTTTTCCTCCCAATCAGCTGTTGGTTATTTATCCTAATCCGAAATAAAATGAATACTTAAAACTAAGACTTATTATAAACTAATACTAAATACTTAATTAACTAATACTTAATTTTATATTTAATCCCCTTCGAGTTATTAAAAAAAACTAACAATTGTTTTATTTATAGGCCAAAGGGTTTCACATGGCGGAAAGAGGACAATTTTACGACTTGGATCACGCTTTGTTAGCAGTGCACTCCCTGGGGAGGTATCATGGGATGTTTAAGACACTTGAGGCGAGGGGATTATCTCCGCAAGGATTAAAAACTTGGTTTCTCTTCGACAACGAAGAAATGCATGATTATTTTTATTGGGACATGACTGCTTTGAAAGATGGCGTCCAACGACTGTGGGATCCGAGTTGGTGAGTTTGTTCTGAATAATTCTCGTAAGTCTGAATAAATTTAAACGCTAGGAAAAACTCAGGACATTGTTATAGGTTCCAGTTCTCTCCTTAAATCCAACTTCTCCCTTCCTCTTTTAGTCATCAACGATCATCCCATCACATTCAGCTCCTCTGTTAAAACTTAGGAATCACCATAGACGAAAACCTCTCCTGGATACTCCAATATCGCCCTCATATCCCTAAAGTCACTATGTACTCTTAACTTATTTCATTGCTCCCGCTACCTACTCCCATAACCTATCCCAATGATACTCGAGGATGGATCGACTTATGAACTCCATAAGATTTGTCTTCGATACTTCCAGGCGGTCCAACCTTTACAACGAGTGAAAATGACACTTCCCTTCTTCCCGCCGAAATAATTTCCTTGGATCTTTCCTATTCCAAACGATCAACACCCGACACCATTCCTACATCTACAGTCTACTATAGTTCAGACCCGTACTCCATCCTAGAAGACAAGATCCCGGTGTTTCCGACCTTTATATCCCTTCCCATAGAACTGAAACATTTGAGCATTCCTTTATTGTCCGATCCAATACCTTCTGGAATTTCTGGCCGTCTGATATCTGCCATGTCTCATTGAAATACCATCTCTACCAATTCCTTCTCACATCCCAAAATGACGCTGTACAATCATGGCGTCTGTGAATGAAAATAAATTTTTATTGAAGTGAATGGTTGTTGAAATTGTTTAAATCTTAAGAATCAACTCATAGTGCTTATAACATTTTGTTTTTTATTTTCTCTGATTTCTGTTTTCTCATTCTCATTGAAGATATTTTGCCAAATATGGAATGTATTTTTTGTACACAATGAAATGAAAATAATGAAATAAAAATATTTTTTTATTATCCTTTGGAAAATTAATTATTTCCAATTCTTATTAAGATTAAGTTTTTGGAAAAAGAATAAAACAAAAAATAGAACTATTAAATTCAGCTATGTATAATACAATTGTGGCAAATAGCATAAGTGAAGAAAATCACTTCTGGGAGAACTTTAAAAGTTCTCTTATCAACATTTCATGATCGATCGGGTTGGGAAAGGAGAAAAGGGAAGGAGGAAACTGATTGTACATGTCGGATATCGGGAGGGATGGTATTCCAGAAGGAGACGGATTGAATTTTAAAGGATTTGTCAAACGCTGCAGTTCGGTGGGGAGGTGGATAGAGGTCGGAGGCACGAGATCTTGGTTATTCATAAGAAATCTTGACCCAGAATGTTGCTTTCTACATTATTCTATTCTATATGAAATATAATAGGAATAGAAAGTTTCTGTCTATGGAATTCGGAGCTCCATTAAAATCGACTAGTAAGGCTTGCACGCACATCTTGATCTATTTCCCATCGTTTTTGGAGTACCTATTTTAGAATGAAGATCTGGTGTAATGTGCTACTATCTCTTGGAATCCAGCTTGGTGGTTCTCTATTATATTTTATTTATGCAGAATATTGGTTATTAACTTCTAGGCAACAGGTAGGAATGTAATGCCTCTGTAATTACTACGCTCATATATGGAACACATCTTAAAGTTAGGGCATGTCATGACTGTGTTCCAAGTTTCTGGACTCCTTTTTTTAAAGATATATACATCATAATATGAACTAACAAAGGATAACTGAAAAAAGGAGTGAAGGACTTAGAAATTTGTTGAAAATTTATTATCAAACTAACAAATTCTGTGCATCACTTTAATATATTTTATTTATAATTATACTCGTTTGTTTTAGGACACCGATTGTAGAAAAAATAAAAATTACCAAAACAGAATTCCACGAGAGGTTGAAAAAATTTGCCGAATTAGACGAGTCCAAATTTAATGTTACAAACCATGGAGACTGCCATAAAAATAACATTGTTGTCAAATATGGTTGGGATAAAAGGCCGATTGCTATGAGGTAAGCCATCTACGTCAGTTAAATATATTCTAGATAATACATTTCATAATATGTTACAGTAAGGTATGGAAACCATCGATGGAATTCAGCAAGTTCCTTCATTCGTCAATTGAATCTCTGGTGGCTCTGCAGTTCCATGGGCCATTAGAGGTATGAGAGAAGTACTCTACAGAGGGCAGTTGGAAATTAGATGTCTTGGGATGAAGCTCATTCGCTTTATACGCATCGCTATGAATGCATACTTAAAGTTTTTAGATGATAAGGATGTTACGGCAATTTTTTCGTCAAAATCGGCTAATCGAAAGTGGCACTTTACACTATTGGAATATGGAAAGTGGAACTAAACCCATTTTATCTCGAAAACCACAGAAAGGATTTTCATTAAATTCATCATATCAGTGTAAAATTAAGCAGTTTTAAATAGAATGTGGTTATTATTCTGATTGATGTTCTTTTACAGGGCTTAAATGGCTAATTTTCAATATTAGCTTCCCCTAAAGTACCTTTAATTTTTTTTATTTGAAACAATTAACCATTTAACATTAATTTCTAATATGAAAAATAGTTAAATATAAAATATGAAAGAATTTGATAATTAACTAAAGGAGAAATAAGAGATCGTAACGGAGAATATTTGTAATCGAGGAATCAAAGAATACGAGCGCACCCGAAAGATTAGAACTTCGATATGTAACGAGATTAATATAATACGGACTCCGACAATATTATATAAATATACATACGTGGTTTTCATAAATGGTATTTTTGGTATTATTTAATATTTAATTGTATAGATTACAGAGATATAAATATTAAAATTTGTATATATCAGGGTACTTATACAAATAAAAATACTCACAATGAAATATAAATAAATATAGAGTCTATAATTTTTACTTTCACTTCGCTTTGTCTAAAAATACTGATGTATTTTTTACATAAGTGAAAGATGACTTATTTGTCTGCGAGAAGAAGAGAGTGGTAAGTGAAAGTTGTGTGATGCCTGCACCGCACCAGATATTTTTTATATAGTAAAATCTATTGATTGATGAGTATAGTTACGTTACTCAACAACTAAACACAGCTGAGCAGTCGTGCAATGTTGTTATATCTCTCTTGACTAGATGTTGGCCTCTCAATTCTCAATGTTCACTTATAATATTAGTTTTTGTTTCGATTAATTCTTATTTTTCTATTATTAAACAAATGTAATGCATTCACTTTGAAACATCTTGGAACTTTAAAAGGCTGTTTTAAGCTTTTAAATGTTTGCAATAAATAGGGTAAAGTATTCAATTTTGTTGAATATTTAATAGTTGACCGTTGCATTATAAAGGAAGGAGATGGTCCAGGGTTTTGGTCATAAATAGGCTAATTACTGGCAAAAATATTTTATTAAAAGCCAACGTTTCGACCCGACTTTGCAGGTCTTCTTCAGAGAGGTGTGTTCAGCTAGGAGTTTCACTTAGAACTGCTAGTGATTCTAAGTGAAACTCCTAGCTGAACACACCTACAAAAACCCTGAAGAAGAACTGCAAAGTCAGGTCGAAACGTCGGCTTTAAATGAAATAGTTTTACCACTATTTAGCCTATTTATGACCGCCACCCCGGACCATCTCCTTCCTTTATTCAATTTTTTTATTTTGCAACGTTGTAAAGTCACAAAATTTAAAAATTCCAAATGTCTACCAACGCTTGTTTGGTTAACTTCAACATCCTACTAACAACTAACTAATCAAGTCATATTTGATTATTTTTTTTCCAATTTCTTACTCCTAACTTTATTATAATACTTACTTATAAAATGGATTTTACTTTTAATCCTTATATGTATATTTTTTTTCTTTTTTAAAGATTTTTGGACTTTCAACTAGTGCATTACGGATCTCCTTGCATTGATTTAACTTACATGTTTTACCTGGCCGTTGATCCTTTTGTTCGACGAGAGAACTTCGATCTTATATTAAGGACGTACCACAACTCCCTGGTAAACACCTTGGACAAGTATAACTTCCAAGGAAACAAACCCGACTTAGAGGAAATCAAAGATGGTATGGAGAAGTATTCTTTCATGGGATTAATGCTCTCTCTCACCTGGCATCCTAATTTTTTACAATCGGAGAAGATGGAAGAACTTCGCGATTTCGATAAGATAGCAGCCACTGAAGGAAAGGAAGGATATGCCGACGAAGGTTTCCATCCTGAAATTCTTGAAAAAAATATTGGACCTGATATAATTGCTTTTGTGGATAGGTTTTGCTCAGATAGTTAATAAATAAAATTAATTCATAACACTTGGACTTATTTACAATTCCTAAATCTAATTTAAAATTTCATTTGTGGAAATATATTTATAATTTATATTAAATAAAATAAGGGAAAAATCAGATGTATAGGATTAAAAACGAAATTGAAAAAAAAATTATTATACTCATATATTGGCCTAATTGGTAAATTAATCCGATGAGTATTTAATTGTAATATATTGAACTTTTCATGGAATCTTCGTCCCTGTCTTCAGCAGTCTAAAATAATACAATAAATATATATTTGTTAGATTGATTAATGAATCCAGTTAGTGTTGCCCAAATGCGAGACCAAGACGAGTCTTGGTCTTGGTATTGAGCAACAGTCTCTCAACAGTCTTGCAGTTACCTATTGGCTTATTACCATAAAGATATTACTGTAATTGTTTAGATAGGAGAAACCTAACTAAGCCGGAATGAAAAATTAAATGAGTTAAATGCAAAAGAATATTGGTTACACCTAAAGTGAGCAGACGTCCCGCTTTGGTGGGACAGTCCCGATGTTTAACAATTTGTCCCGCGTCCTGCAGCGTATTAAAAAAGTACCGATTTTTGGAAAGAGTGCATGAAAAACTAGAAAACGCCAGAATGAAAAAAGAATATAAGGTTTCGGGCGGTCATGTGGCTATTTCGCCAAGATATGGGTTTTATATTGTATTTGCTTTCTGTCCTACTGTATCCTTAACAATCTCCACTTATCCCTGTTGAACAAATCCGATACCTAATACAAACGACTCACTTGGAATCCTCATACCAGACTGAAACGACAAGAAACCGCTCGACGTTTTCAACTACTCCAGCACTTACTAGACAAACGTTCTAAACTTCCAATTACTTACAAAAGACTCATATATATGATTATAATAAGGCCTATTTGGACTTACGGAATCGCGCTTTAGGGCTCTACTAAACCATCGAATTCCTCTCGAATTCAATCCTTACAATCCAAAATCCTTCGTAAAATCCTCAATGCACCTTACTTTGTCACAAATAAAATCATCCATAACGACCTTAATGTACTAAATGTTTCCGATTTAGCTCAATCCAGATACCTATCTTTCCATAATAAACTTTTGAACCATTCTTATTCTATTCCTGATAACCCTCCGAGGCGTCTGAAAAGAAGATGGCCTCGGCATCTTCTAATATAGAACTTTAATTTGAGCTCTACCAATGGGTAGTTTCTCTTCATGTTGTACATGTCATGTTACCAATGTCACATTTACTTGTTTTATTTTTCATGTAATACAGTTGTAAATTTCATTAAAATATATATATATATATATATATATATATATATATATATATATATATATATATATACATATATTTATTTTTGTTGTTAATTTTATAATATTAAATACTAATAATAACGTGAGAACTGATTTCGAATTTGAACTCTTTGCAGAGGCAATCCGATATTGAACTTCCTTTGGAATGTCATTCTGGGAATTGACTAGTGATCCTAAATAAATAAACTCCTCCATATTCTTGAAGAAATTCTGTCCAAATTTGTTTGTATGGTTCTCTTCTATAGGGGGCTGTAGCCATGTATTTTATTTTTCCTCATTAATAAATAACCCATTTCATTCAGCTTTTCCCGTTGGAGCTTCAAGAATACATCTTTTATGGCATCAGAGATTTGTCCCACCATGTTTCTATTGAAAATTAGATATAGTAACTAAAATTGTCAAGTATTAGTAACCATCAGAGGTGCCCATCGCCTTACTCTCCCTCCTCCAAAGATATTTTATTGCTCTCCTCTTCTAATAAACTGTGCAAGCTGAAATGAGATTTAAAAATCACAACTCATACACAATTACACTTTCAGTGGCCTGCTCTCTCCTTTCCTCTTATCTCCTGTTTTAAAACTTTTTATTCTGAAAATTTATAACCCTGCCCCTCCCCCTCAAAAATTTTGATGGGGCAACTTGCGCCATGAAACACTCTTCTGGGCACCCCAGGTAACTATTTTGACTTAATTTCTATTCAAAAATAGATATTATTTTTACCAGTCTCGGTCTTGGTCTTGTTATAGTTAGGTGGTCTTGGTCTTGCACTTTGCAAGACTGATTTTAGGCAACACTAAATCAAGTCATTATCAAGTAAAAATACATAAAGTTTAAAAACAATATCTTATTAATAAGTATAATAATTTCTTTATACAACAATTGTTAAAAACATAATAAATTTACATTCTATTCTCTCATAAAATTTGGTGTCACAAAATTTAATACAATTGGATTGGTTCACGGGCAGATCTTCGGGGGAGGGGCTTTCGGGCTGAAGCTCCCCCCCAAAATGGAAAATTATAACCATGTTTTATGGGAAAAAATATTTAAAAATACCTCTTAAAGTATTATTGTTCGTGTAATTACATTTAAAAGTACTTAAGGAATAAATTAAACACCATTTCATATAGGTAGTTAGTTTTTTTCTGTTTTTCCAAAGTAATTATCGTTATTTTTATGAAAAAAAAAAGGTTTCGGGCTGAAGCCCCCCCAAAAATTAAATCCTGGATCCGCTAGTGGATTGGTTCAATAGTACTTAACTAAATGGATTATAGCAACAATTAGAATTGTATGTATGGGGATAGAGATATTAAATTTGCTATTTTTAGTGTTACCCCAAATCGGTCTTGGTCTTGGTCTTAAATCAAAATAGTTAATAATATTTTACTATTTTAGTTACTACCTGTAAATAATTGGTATAACCAATATACTTTTGTATTTAACTCTTCTAATTTTTCATTAGGGCTTACTTAGGTTTCTCCTATCTAAAAAATTACAACAATATCTCTATAGTAATAAGCTAATAGATAACTGCAAGACCGTTGCGAGACTTTTGTACAAGACCAAGACTCGTCTCGGTCTCGCATTTGGGGAGCACTAGCTATTTTAGAGTATGACCTCAAGTATCGTGAATAAATTTTTTTTTTTTTTTTAACTTTTATTATGATATTTACAACTGTATTAGTATGAATACATCAAGTAAATGTGTACATAGGAATATTATCACATGAAACACGCTTGTTGAGAAACTACCCATCGGTAGCACTCTAATAATTTGTCTACATGAGGAGATCACGAGGCCATCTCCTTTTCAAACGCCTCGGAGGGTTATCAGGAATCGAAGAGGAAGCAAGGTTAGAAACAAGAGGATTCGGATGATTATGAAGTTTATTATGGAAGGATAGGTATCTGGATTTGGCCAAATCGGAAAAATATGGAACATTAAGGTCTTTATGGATTATTTTATTTGTGACAAAGTAAGGAGCATTGAGGATTTTACGCAGGATTTTGGATTGTAAAGATTGGATACGAGAGGGATTCAATGGCTTAGTGGAGCCTCAGAGCTCAACTCCGTAAGTCCAAATATGTCTTATTGTAGTCATGTATATCAGTCTTTTGTAATTGACAGGGAGCTTAGAGCGTTTGTCTAGTAAGTGCTGGAGTAGTCGGAAACGTCATCGTTTCAGTCTGGTAAGTCCAAATAGGTCTTATTATAGTCATGTATATGAGTCGTTTGTAATTCATTAAAAGTTTAGAGCGTTTGTCCGGTAAGTATTGGAGTGTGAATAAATCTCAAATCCTATTTTATATTCAATGTTTGTTCCAAATATTTTTTTACAAGAAAATATTATTAATATTATAATTGGTATGATGGATATGATTGGTACGAAAAGGAAGAATGATGAACAGGGGTATGCGTGATTGAGAAAGAGAGGACAGAATAAGATGGTAAAAGTCTTCTAGGTGCTCCCACATCTGCTCACTTCCTAAGAGTGGAAACTTTTAGTATATTTACTTCCTCACTAGTCCAAAAATTGAGCTCTGTCTTTTCCTTCTATACTCCTTTTTCGAGCATTCATTGACTGGACTAAAACCATAATCAACCACCGTTTTGATTAAAAATGTGCTTTGAAGTTTAATTCATTCCTAAATGGTCCCCGTTTAAGTTTCTAATATGTTTTTTTAGTAATTAACTCGAAAATATGTGCTACAAATTAAGAATTTTTCACTTATTTTTTAAAAAATACTATTTTTATTATCAGAATGGAAACTAAAAATATAATTCCTAAAAAAATTAGCGTTCGCTTTGGAAATAAGCTAATCGTTTGTTCCATTGTGATCTACGAACTTCATTTTAAGTTGTGACAATATTTAATCAAACCAGCGATACGACAACAATGTTTTCCAACACAATCAACATAACAACTGATAAGATTAGATAGGTAGTCCACAAGTACTCGTCCAGACATGGTAATTTTTAGAAATGTAATGAACCTTAACAGAATATTACTTTATTATTATAAATATAAATAATATAGTTATATCAATTATTATAAATGTACATTTATGATATGATAAGAAAACGGACATTTGATAAAGTAATGGGACTGAAGAATATCAAAAGATACCGTAAACAAATGAAGGAAGAAATAGTAAGACTTTGGATAAAAGAAGATGAAACCTAGATGGAGATAAATTAAGAGAAACAGTGAATGAGATGAAAGTTCTTATGGTAGAAAAAAATCTGGTGCGCACAACACACAAATTTCATTTATCCCTTTATTTCGAATAGAAATTATTTTCTGGTATATACAATTTTTGAAGTGCATTTTAAACGGAGCTAAAGCTTAAAGCTTACATATAACAAATCATTAAGATCATTAAAATTACAAAAAGTCAATTTATTATATCGATAGTAGGCAATAAAAATCTAGTTTTATCAATTTAGTCTCTGAGTTTTTCAGCTGACAGAATGACTAACTCATTCAACATTAAACATTTTTAGAAACGTCATTTTAGTGATATTTCTTGTTTGAAAAGTTATATCTATACTAACAGTGATTAAGTTGATTCCAAAAAAGGTAATTGCAGTGTTGAAATATAGGAAATAAAGGAATAAATTTTGCCACAAAAACATCACTAAAATTATTAATAAAGAATATTGAAATTGGAGTTAGTCATTCTGTCATCCTTA